TATGAATATTTTGATACGTCAACAGACAGATATGATTATTTTGATATGTCATATGTCATCTTGAAGATTGCTCTTTCTTACAATTCAAGGTCATAACACATTTCTCCTATCTGTTGGAGTTGGTGGTGAAGTATATGAACGTGATGCAGAAGAAATTTATAACGTGTTCACCAATCCAGCCATTGGTTGCATTGAGTAAGTATCACAACATATTTTGAATTAAACTTATTAAGTAAAGCGAGAGGGTCGTCCCCTGCGCATGAGTGGGAATTGAGCCCTAAGTGATGATAACAAACACACACTAAAAACGCAAAGGCTCATGGGTATAGGCTTGTTTGTAAACAATGACACGCTATGGCCATCTGATGCATGCACAGGTGATGACTCCCTCGCTTTAATGTCAATTACTAACTGCACTCAGTTACTGGGTTTAGCCAGCCAAAATTTATGTTAAATCTGTAATTTCTGAACCATATTTCTCGGCTGGGCTGTCTATTTTGTTTCAAATAACACCCTCTTTGCTAATGTACAGTGTAATAGAAAACCTGCCAGCTTCTTTTAAAGTGTTAGCCATGATTTGTACAATTGATTCAGAATGAGGTCTGGAGTTACTTCAAGTATCCCGAACAATACAGGCTGATAAATTTCTGAGATAATGTTTTCAAAACCCGGAATTTCAATTACCAATATAAAATTCAATATACATTTAAACTGAAAAAAAATATAAAAAGAGATATTATCAATAGAAAATTGGTGGACGATAAATGCAGATGAAATACAATGATTTATTTAATAACCTGTTGAATCATCAGTGAAAATAGTTTCATATTTGAAGCTGGTGAACAATCTAATTAAAATACTTGTGTATGCGAATTCACTGCAAATACTTGCACACAATAAGTAACAATTAATACTTCTTCTAGCACCTAGATTTTGATGTGTGGTTTTATGTATATAGCTTATTTATGTACATTTCTCTTCTGAACAGTAAGAAAAAAGCTTGGTGTCTGCTTGGGAAGGATGCCACAGTAGAAAATATTAAGAGTACATATTCAAATATTGCCAAAAGTTTGAAGGAATTAGATGAGGATGGAGAGAATGTTTTCATCTTTTACTACAGTGGGCACTGCAGCAAAGAAGGATTTATTAAGTGCAGTGGTGGTGGAAAAGAGATTAGAGCTCGTAAACTACAAATACTACTAGAAGAGATAAAAGCGACCCGTCGGCTATTAATTTTTGATTGTTGCTTTGCTAATACAATGTTCCCACACAAATATCGGTATGGCACAAAGGATGGTGATCAAGACGAAGATGAGAGTGAAATTAAAGATAGCAAAGATGCAGAGATGAAAGATGTTTCATTGGTATCAACTGTTGGTGGCAGAGGTGTGATGATGTGGGGCTCCTCCGATAATCGCAAAGAATCACATGGAGCTAAGTATGAAGAACAAGATGGAAATAGTGTATTCACAAAGTACATACTGGATGGACTCAAAGGTGCTGAAAATTGCTCTCTGAAATTAGAGGATTGTCAGATCTGTAGCGACTATAGGGAGTCTTTAAAATTTGAGCAATGTGTTTTGTTGAGTAAGATTCGAGATTATGTATTCAAGCATGTAGAAAAAGAAATGCAAGGCAACCAAAACCCCCAGACAGCTGGAGTCAGTGAACTAGATTTTAAGTTGGCTTACTTATTTTGATATTGAAATTGAGTTATTTTGATATTGAATTATTTTGATATTGAAATTCTCTTCTGACACCCTGATAAAATTGGTGAATGAAATACTGAAAGAACAGTACTATTTTTGCTGCAATAGAAGTATGCATGAACAAAGAATTACCGCAATATTAAAATGTGATTTATTTTGACCATGAAAACACCTGTTCTTTTTATACATGGAAGCACATTACTATGTATATACAAAATGTTTGTGCAAACTTTTGTGACACCAGCAGTCTGTACAATTAAAATATGCCAATCCAAGTAAAGCATCCTTTGCCAGATAGGCTAGGTCACCACCTCGGGATATGACAACTCATAATTCTTTATCTTTTTAAAAAATCAGTTCAGCCTTCTTTTTTATTAGCTCCGCTGTCGACTTTGTCGAGCGGAGCTTATCATATGAGTGATTGTCCGTCGTCGTCGTCCGTGTCAATGTTTTACTTTTTTGACTTCTTCTTGAAAACTACAAGCCTGAATGCTTTGATACTTGGTGTATATGTACCTTGGGTAGACCTCTCTTAGGTTTGTTCATTTCATGTTGATATCTTCAATTCTTTAATTTTGGTGAATATTTTTGTAATTTTTGGTAAAAAGTGATATTTTTGACTTCTTGTTAAAAACCAAAAGTCCGATTGCTTTGATATTACATATTTAGATACTACATGTAGACCTTTCTCAGATTTGTTCATTTAGTGATGATATCTTCAATTCTCTAATTTTGGTGAATATTTTAGTCATTTTTGGTAGAAAGTGATATTTTCGACTTCTTGTTAAAAACTGTAAGTCCGATTGCTTTGATAATATACATATTGTTCATTTTCTGATGATGTCTTCAGTTCTTTAATTGAAATGTGCATTTCTAACAGCGGAGCTATCTCAGCCGATAGGCTGCTTGTTATCAAAAACTACCTATCACAAGAAACCAATATTGTAACTGAAGTGAGGAAGTCTACAAGATATACATATAATTGTGTTTTTAAAGAGTCCCTGTCATACTGTCCCATATCATGTATTTTCTGGAAGATCATTCTATCAACTTTGCCAAATTATGGTTTGGTATCTGTATGTATATTTGAATTCAATATTTTGGGTAATACTATTTCTCTTAATTATAATGAGATAGATTTCTACAACTGTACATAATTAGCTTAATCACATCAGGTAGCTTTTGGAATCAAGACTTAACTGTAATCTAAATTGTGAATTTGTTTGAATTTTACTTTAAAAATACCATAATTCTTCCAATAATGGGACCACAAACAAATGATTATTTTTGTGAGGTGGCTGAATTATAAGCTGAAAAATGTGTTTTTTGTCTTTGGTATTATGATTCTAGAAAATTTAAGATGTCAATGAAGGTAATGTGAAACTTGGAAAGAAACACCACCAATTTGAATGAAGTTTAATTTATTTCTCAACAATAAAACAAATCATGATAACATCTAAATGGGGTCATTTCCTGGAAGATGGTTAAATTGTTAAAGAAAAGAAATATTAGCAAAAATAAGTTGGTTAACCATTATAGGATTATGATAGTCATGTAATGTCATATTTTAAACAGGTGCTCTTTGTTGTCACCCTTTTTTACTGATAAATAAAATGAATTGTGAAAAATTTATAAAAATATGAATCAGAAATTTACACAATATTGTAATTATGAATATTTTTTTAAAAAGCATAGAGCTTAATTGGGAATATTTTTACTTATTCGAAATTTAGGCATCAGTATTTTTGTGCGTGCATCTGGGCCTGGACTGATTACATTCAAACTTCACACATACATCATACATATGCACATTAATTTGTTTCATGATCTAATTCAAGATGGCTGACTACTTTTGTACTGAAAAATCACCCAAATCAAGCATTTCCCGGCTGTTTATAGATGGATTTTGTTCAAACATTGGACATTATGGAACCTTGATGCACATCATTTTATATTTCAGATCAGATTCAGAATGGCTGACTGGCAGCCATTTTGTTATAATGAATGCAGTTCTACTAGTGCCATATCTCTGACATGCTTTGTCTGATTATGCTCAAATTTTTAGCTCTGCTATTGACTTTGTCGAGCGGAGCTTATCATACGAGTGATTGTCCGTCGTTGTCGTCGTCCTGTGTCCGTGTCAATGTTTTACTTATTCAACTTCTTCTTGAAAACTATAAGCCTGATTGCTTTGATACTTGGTGTATATGTACCTTGGGTTGACCTCTCTTAGATTTGTTCATTTCATGATGATATCTTCAATTCTCTAATTTTGGTGAAAATTTTTGTCGTTTTTGGTAAAAAAAGTGTTATTTTCGACTTCTTGTTAAAAACCGCAAGTCCAATTGCTTTGATATTACATATGTAGGTACTACATGTAGACCTCTCTCAGATTTGTTCATTTCATGATATCTTCAATTCTCTTATTTGGGTGAATATTTTTGTCATTTTTGGTAAAAAGTGATATTTTCGACTTCTTGTTAAAAAACGCAAGTCCAAATGCTTTGATATTACATATGTAGGTACTACATGTAGACCTCTCTCAGATTTGTTCATTTCATGATATCTTTAATTTTCTAATTTTGGTGAATATTTTTGTCATTTTTGGTAAAAAGTGATATTTTCGACTTCTTGTTAAAAACCACAAGTCCAATTGCTTTGATATTACATATATAGGTACTACATGTGGATCTCTCTCAGATTTGTTCATTTTGTGATGATATCTTTAATTTTGATGAATATTTTTGTCATTTTTGGTAAAAGGCGTTATTTTCAACTTCTTGTTAAAAAACGAAAGTCCAATTGCTTTGATATTACATATATAGGTATAGACTGGCGCAGTCGAGGCAATTAATTTGTTTTTGTAGTTTAAATAAAATTTAAAAAATCGCGAAATGGAGGTGTTAGAC